CAGAGGGATTTGGATTTTGCAATATCTGCGCCCTCCAAAGTCCTCCACATCCCTCTGCGGAGGTCACTTGGCCTGTCCCTCCCTCACCTCTTCGGAACAAGCAATGGTCTTGCCGAGGGGACCCGAGAGGGGTCAACGGTCATCGTGGTGGATGAGACCTGGTCTGTGTGTTGCCCGTCAGCCACAGGCTGTGTGTTCTGGGCAATACACACACCTGAGTTTGAAAAACGGGATTTAGGACCCAAAATTGCATGTGGAGGAGGGGAGCAGTGCTGCTGCGGATGAGAAATACTAGTTCTACGTTAACCACACGTACAGTCTACACGGCCTAATCTGAGCACTAATTCGGAGGAATCCTCTGGGCCCCTGAGGTCATGCTGCAGCCCTTTGTTTAATAGGCTGCAAATGAGTTCTCTTAAAATTAAAGGGAGAAGAAAAGGTCAGTCTGGTTGTAGGACCTCTGTGTTCTTGGGAGGGACCTCGCAGGCCACCTTCGCCCCGAGGACAGAGCAGAGGCCAGACGCCTGGCTGGCTGGGATCTTGGAGTGCCTCTCAGAAGGGCAGCTGTTCTGGTGTGGGCCGCGGGGAGGGGGGGCCCAGTGTCCAGTGCCTGGAGTGTCAGTCTTTGTTGAATATGGAGTTTCTAAAGGCATGGGGCTCCTGTGAGGTGCCTTGGGGACCCCCACCTTGGCCCTTGGATCCCACCCCTCCCCACTCCAACCCAGCCAAGGTCCTGGTGGCTTTGGGCTAATGGGTGTCCCGGGGTGGGAGGGCAGAGGTGAGGTCGTGGTTGGCGCTGGCTGGGTGACACTGCTCTCTTGCCTTCCAGCTGCCCCGCCCCTACGGCCGTGCGAGAAGCTGGCTTCAGGTAGAGCCGCCTGGAGGGACTTGTTTGGAGTGATGTGTGGGGTGGGGGCTGCTGGGGGTGCTGTGTGCTGCCCTGCCTGCTCTGGGTACTCCCGCAGTGCCCTCCGTTCCCTTCCTCCTGGGAGCTGACCACCACCCAGGGTGCCCTGGCCCTGCCTGTAGGACCTCTCCCAGCTGGTGGCAATTCCTAGGTTTTCAGAATAATGGCCAAAGAGTTTTGAGAAAGCAGCCTCTCATGGTGCTCTGCCTGGGCCCCTTCTCTCACTGGATCCGCCCAGCTTTCGAGGACGGTGGACTGGTCTTGATTCCCGCTTTGCAGGAGAACCCAAAGACGAGGGGCTTGCCAAAGCCACGGGAGTTGGCGCTGGCTCCTGGCTGGCCCAGGTCCTTGAGCGAGGTTTCCAGGGACGCCTGAAGGTGGGAAGAGCCCCACGGTGCCCAGTGCTGGGCTCCCACCCCCACCGAGTGGTGCAGCCCTGCCGCCCCTCGGAGGGAGGTGTTACATCCTGAGTAACAGTTTTGGAAAGCAGGCCCGGTGTCATTTGAGATTGGAGATACCAACACCTTCCTGTGTCATGAGGGCCGGCAGGCTGAGGGTTGTGTCCGATGTCACTCTGGACCGTCTCCTCTGAGGGTGTCCTGCCCCTGGTCACTGCAGACACATTGGCTTGGGGCTCCTGGGTCTGGGGGTCCAAGCAGTCACCTGTAGGTAGTCTCCCCAGTGAGGACTCCAGGCTCCCCTGTCAGTGCTCACCCTGAGTCCGCTTAGCTGCAGGCCTCACTGCACCTGCTGGTGCTGCCTCCCTGCCTGGGTGCACACAGTAGGTGCCTCTTGAACACATCCTGTGATGGCATACGGTCCACTCGAAGGGCTGAGAGCCCTTTGGGAGCAGGAAGCCAGGGTGAGAGTAGCTGCCTCTGAGCCAGCCCGAAAAGGGTCCCCCCGCCCCCATGCCAGCAAGGAGCCCCAAGTGGAGGGGCATGGAGGTGGGTGGGCCGCCTCCTTTTCTCTGAGTTTCTCCCTTGGCCCATTTCTGTTCAGCACCTCCTCTGACAGTGCTCCCCAGATGTACCTGGGAGTGGCCCCAAGGGAGCCCCCCAGCTTTGCAGGTGGGAACCCCCCGGCTTTGCAGGCAGGAGCCCCTGGGAAGGCGATGGCTGGGGTGCTCCTGCTGCTGGGAGCCTGGTCGCAGCACCACAGAAGCCCAAAAATGCTGTGGTCGCCTGAGTTCACACAGCCTGGCCGTGGCCAGCTCTGAGCTGGGGAGCTGGCAGTGACGGCCCTGGATGGAGGCCTGGGGGCACCCTTAATGGGAGGGGGGGGCCCTGCAGCCTCCTAGGTCTTCCTCTCGGTCCAGAACTCTGGTGCTGCCCTTGGAGGCGGGTACTGGATGGGGTGGACGAGGCCCTGCAGTATTTGCACACCGGATCCTTCCCTTCCCTTTTAAGGATCTGAGCACTCCTGCTCCTGCTCCGTGTGTCAGATCCGCTGCCCCGTGTCCTGAGGGACCCACGCCAGGGAGGCTGGGGCAGGGCAGAGGAGGTGGTGCGCCCCTCCTCCTGCCCTGTCTTTGGCCACACGCGCCCCCAGGTGTGGGCCCTGCTCCCTTGAAGGCCACTTCAGCTCCACTTGCCCTGAACAGTGGAAACCTAGGGATTTCATTCTTCCAGGGCACCAATGGGCAAACACCAGGATTTTTAATTTGGATTTAAGTGCAATTATGATTCCTCATTTCGATGCATCATTAGCTGTGTTGCCCATAATGAGAGCTGTGTGTTCCCGCCAGCTTTGTGGCCTGCTGATAAAGCTCTGTGGGCTCACAAGTAATGCTTATAGACATCACTGAAGGCAGGGGTGGGAGTTGCATGCTGCTAATTAAAATCTCCCCCACCCACCCTGCTCACACACCTCCTCCCCAAGAAATTGTCAGAGTTGGGGGAGTAAGGAGGAGACACACAAACCAGTGTTTTAAGTAACAACACACAGGCCGCTTCTGAACTCATTCTGTCCAGGGCTGGAGAAGCTGTGGAGGAGGTGAGGCTCGGCCCAGAGCCTATACTGTGTGCGGGTAAGGACAGGGCGCCACCCGCTGTCCTGGCCTCAGGGGTTGGTGGGCGTGTGGCCGCACACATCAGTGTGTGTGTATGTTGGGCCTTATGCCTGGTCTCTTGGTGTTCTCTCTTCGGCCTGGCAAGGCAGCTGCAAGTGTGCCAGGGCCCAGGTGGGTGGCCTGCGGCCCCAGGTGTGGACGTTCAGGTCTAAACCCACACCCAGGTGTGCTGGGTTTAGAACGTGCTCTCCACTGGAGACGATTTTGTAACTGTCTCTGAGCCCTGGCCAAGAAAACAGTTCGGTTTAGGACTTTAGCCTCTAAGTGGAGCTGGGAGTGACTGCCCCGCCCTGGGAGGCAGGGGCGCCCTGAAGAGGAAGTCCCCGTGGCAGGGTGGGCGAGTGCTGGGCTGGGGGTGCGGAGCCACTTTCTCTTTGGGTGCCTGGTGGTCAAGGCTCCACTTGATCAGACAGACCCCTGGCTGGGCCTGGGAGAATTAACATGTCTTGGGCCCTAAAGCCTCTTGTTAACCAAAGCAGGACATGATGGGGCATGGCAGCCCCAGTTTACGATCGAGCGCAGTGCCCAAGGTCCCTGTGAGACCCTGCCACACCTTGGGGCCACCATGGGAGGGTGGGGCCCAGCTTCTCTCCCCTGTGCCCCTGGGTGGCCTTGGCTCACACTCCGGTCCTCTCTAGACCACGGGAGCAGCTCTCAGCTGGACGGCTGTTCTCTGCTCTGGCCGGCCGGCACCTGGGATGGGGGTGGGTTAATCAGAAGAGTGACTGCCTTTCTGAAAATGGGGTGCCTTCCTTTATGAGACTTCACTCCCTGACCTACAGACACAGGGGCCAAGCCCTTGAGACCATGAGACCTGGGAGGCTGACCCGGGGTCTGATGGGGGTGGCGGGACCCAAGGAGCTGACGAGGCTGGAGGCCTTGTGAGAAATGGGAGCCTGGGTTGAGGGCTGGCAGGAGGGAAGCGGAATGTGTGCAGGTCCCTGTGGGCAGAGCGCCAGGGGCTGATGAGCCGGAGGAGGGACCCGCGGTGTGGCTGCTGCCCCATCTCGCTCTCCCCAGCCCTGGCCCCATCCCCTTAAGATTCATCTGGGCAACTCAACAGCCTGCTGGTTGATGAGACATTCCACTGCATTTTATCTGCCTGGTGGTGTTCCCGCAGTTCCTTTGAAGTAGAAGAGGGTGTTTGGGTCAGAAACACCACCTCAGGGTCTTAGTGACACAGGGGCCCGAAGGCGGAGGTATCTGCTCATCTGGACCGGGGGCCTGTGTTGGATTGAGCAAGGCCCCTGGGTCCTCCCCTCTCCAGGTCCAGCTTCTTGGAAGGGTTTGCTTTGCCCCAAGGGGAACCACCACCTAAAGCCAAGTATGTGCTTGTCCATTCCTTCACCAACCCCCCTAAGCTCACCCTGGGCATTAGTCAGGAGCCCTGCTCGCACTGGCTCCTGTACCTACAGAGGGCCGAGGCCCAGGGCTCACACTTGGGAGCTCTGGTCCGATAGTGGAGGCTGTGGGCAGTGTGGGCAGAGCATTGTGCGGGCTCGCCCTGCGGACACCCCCAGCACCGTGGAGGCCGGAGGACTTCCCCATGGACTCGGTCCCCATGGTCTGGGGAGGGCACTCCCCAGGCCTTACGGGGACCCGAGTGCAGGATGCTGCAGCAGAGGACTGAGCGTAGGGGGTGGAGAGCCATGCACTCATGCACTTGATTATTCAGCCATTCAGCAAACGATTATGAAGCACACAGCAGGGAGCGAAGTGAAGCCCCTGGCCTCCGGCTCCTACGCCTGCGTGGGGAGACAGATGTAAAGGGCTCCTGATGACAGCAGTGAGGACAGATAAAGCGGGGTGGGGGAGGGAGGGCCCTGGGGAGGGGCCTCCAGGCAGGTGCGTGGAGCAGATCAGATAACCTGCCTTTCCTGAGGGAGGGAGCCCCGTGGAAGACCCAGCAGGAATGTCCCATCTTGTGGAGGGGACAGCAGTCGAGGTCCTGACGGGGAACAGTCCTCGGCCCCCTCAGCGCCGCCCCCCCACCTCTAAGCCCGCTCCCCGTCTCTCCCACAGCAGTCCGGCTCCGGAGAATTCCGGACGCTGCGGAAAGGCTTCTCCCCATACCACTCGGAGTCCCAGCTCTCCAGCCTGCCGCCCTCCTACCAGGATTCCCTGCAGAACGTAAGTGCCCCTCCCCCAAGGGTCCCTGCTGTTCCCCTGGGGACCCAGCGCCTCCAGAAGTGGGCTGATGCTGAGACCTGCTAGTGACCTGCCGGCCACGTGGACAGCTCTTGGCTGAGCCGGCGTTGGGATCCTCCGCTTCTGCCCAACCTCCTTCCAGGTCAAGGCGTGGGCTCACAGCCAGAGCGGCCTTCCTCATCCCCCGCCTGCTCAGGACGTGGCCTGAGCCCTGCTCCTTGGCCCTCAACCCTGAAGCTTTGTAAGGCCCAGTGCGGGGCTGGAGGTAGAGGCCCATGCCGGAGGGACGTTGCTGGCCCAGCCGCAGTCTCTGTGCAGCTCGTGAGCCTGGGACACAGCAGGGAGAGAATGTCCGGCTGGCGCTGGAGCTCGGGGTGGGGCTGCAGTATATATACGTGGGGGTCGCTACCCCAGGCTTTGTAACGGAGGTAGGGCAGGAGCGCAAGTTTATGATCATGTGCTTCATTATCAACGGGGGACCTCCGAGGTTCTCCTGGCTTCTCGCCTTGGCTCTGACCTGCCCTGAATGGGAAGGGAGGGCGGCTTGGGGCCAGCTCAGGACCGCTCCCTGTGCGTACGCGCCCATCATCCCTGTGTGACCTCTTGTGTTCAGAACACAGATTGATAGAAGCAGAAAGTCCCTTAGTAGTTGCCGGGGGCTGAGCGGGGAGGTGGGTGGGAATGAAAATGTTCTACCGGATGGTCATGCAAACCTGTGAATACGCTGAAAAGCGCCTCCCAAAACTCATGAATTCGCATGTGCTCTGGGGATGTGTTTATTGAGCATCTGCCACTCGCAGTGCAGGGCAGGGCCCTCTCTACACACACAAGCCCCCCAACAAGGCAGGGGCCTCACTGTCCCCATGGAACAGAGGAAAACCGAGCTGGCCTGAGGTCACTCTGCAAGGCGGGCCTGGACTCTCCCCCAGGGCCCCGGCCCTGCCATATCTCCTCCACCCTGGCTGGCAAGGGCGACCCCCGGTGCCCCCCGCCCTGGGCCTGAGCACTCTGCTGTTGCTCTTAGAGGCTCTCGCACCTTCTCCAGGAATGTAGCTGCTGGCGCTGTGCAGGCAGCAGGGCCTACTGACGGCAGATAATCCAAATATTTATCCGGGAGCCCCGTGGCTGAATGAGGCCCCGATTGCTTTGTGATGAAGGCTCTGAAAAGCTCAGTCTCACACCCACAGGGTGGCTCTCCAGCCCTTCATTCCCTTTGCCCTCTGTTCATACTGCTGATTTGTGGAAATCCTAACAGCTAGCTGTGCTGTGCACCGAAGCCTTCTCAGTGAGCTGCAAACTGTAAAGGGCTGTGCAGACTTGGCTGGCTCCTGTGATGTGCCAGGCCTGCAGGGTGTGAGCAGAGGGCACTCACTCCCCCAGGCTGAGTGAGCCTCTGAGGCCTTGACAGTGCTGCTCAGTGCCATCTGAGGCCGGGAGGCTTCCAGAAGGCTTCCTGGAGGAGGCCTGAAGAGGGGCTCCTTGTGCCCCCTTGAGACTGCCCAGCACACCACAGCTTGTCACCCCACTTCGGAGGGAAGGAAGCTGAGGCCCAGGGGGTGGACGGGGTGGTTGGCCAGGGTCACGTGGTGAGTGTGTGCCAGCACCGGGCCAGCCTGCGTCTGGAGACCAGGGGCCGGCACGAAGCTCCACCAGGGCTCGGGGGCAGGTCCTGGGGTCGGGGAGAGGGTTAGGATGTCTTGCGAGAAGGCTGCTGAGGTGGCAGGAGAGAGACAGCCGAGGTGGAGTCTCAGGGGCCAGGCCTCTTGGGGTGTTTGTAGGGCCCTGGAGAGCCTGTCTGGCACATGGGCTATAGGGAGAGTGAGGCTTGTGTGGGGAGACCCTCTGCCCTGAGTCTGGGGGGCACGACCTCTTCCACACATGGGCATGTCTTCTGTAAGGCGACCTGCAGGTTTACACGTCAGAGTCCTGAGGTGAACGGGTGACCCTGTGGGTGGCGACACCCCCCGTCTGCCTGGCTGGCTTTCCCCCCATCCCTACCCTCTTGCCCACCCTCTGCCTGTCGGTGGACCCGGGTGGGGGGTGGTGGAGGGGGCTTTGGGCTCATCAGCCTTCTGAGGGGAGCAGGCTTTTGACAGGTCCCTCCAGGAAACTGGTTTCCCTGCTGTTTTTTAGTCCATTGACTATTTTTGTGTGTCCATTTCAGTGGTTTTTAGTGCCTTCACAGATTTGTGCAGTCACCACAGGAAGACACTTTCATCACCCCAGAGAGAACCCCCAGACACACTGGCAACCCCTCCCCGTCCCACGTCCTCCCAACTCCTGGCGACCACGCATCTACTTTCTGCCTCTGCTTTTGCCTCTTCTGGGTGTTTCATATAAACAGGATCACGTGATGAGTATGTCATTCTGGGTGACTGGCTTCTTTCACGTAGCGCCATGTTTCAGAGGTTCATCCACGCGGTAGCAAGTGTGAGAACTTCGTTCCCTTTTATTGTCAGGTAACATTCCATTGTGTGGGTGCCCCCCGTTTTGTTTATCTGCCCATCAGTTGCTCTGTGTTGGTTTGTTTCATTTTTTTGCCTATGGTGACTAGCACTGCTCTGAACACCCCTGGGCAGGTACTTGTGTGGATGCCTGTGTTCACTTCTCCAGGGAGTTCACTCGTCTCCCCACTTTTGGCATCAGCTCTGGAGTCCCACAGACCTGGGTTGGAGGCGCACACCCCTTGGTTACTAGCTGTTTGGCCTTGGGCAAGGCGTGCAGCCTTACTCTTCTCCTCTGTAAAAAGGGCACGTAGAAAGATGGGTTGTCATCAGCGCTCAGTGGGCTGCTCTGCTCCAGGCGGGCACTTAGGAGGCCAGAGGTGTCACTAGGCTTTCCAGTCTGCGGTCCTCCCCAGCACGGGAGGCCTTTGGGGATGAGCTGGGCTTGGGAAATGCGCTGAAGGTCACAGTCCTGACCAGTGTCCAATGGTGGCTTTACTTACAGGACCCCGGGGCACATTCTCCTTAGTATCTGCTGTCAGTGCAGTGAGGTGGGCCAGGAGAGAGCTGGATTGCACAGCCTACCCTGGCTGCTTTTGGCTTCCTTCCTGCCTTTGCTCAGGAGTCAGCCCCCTTACAGAGCAGGTGGTTCAGGGAACCCCAGGTACAGACTGGACTGAGGCCAGAGGTGCCCAGGGTCAGCCACCTTCCAGGGCTGTATGTGTGCAACTGTCGCCCCCTGCTGGCCTTTATGGGGAGGGCAGCCTTCAACCTCTGGTCACACACCAGCGTGTGGCCCACCCCCCACCTGTCCCCCTCACCCCCCCCACCCTATTTGGTTTGGCCCCCATGTGACACACCCGACCTGGGCACCAGAGGCCAGGCAGCCGGGGAAAGAGTGTCCAGACTCTACACACACCTTGGGAGGCAGGGACCCTTGCTGTTGTCCAGACAAGAAAACTGAGGTGCAGAGTGGGTCAGGCCCAGCTTTCTCGACTCCAAGGTTGTGGGGTCTGCCTTCTGCATGGAGCCAGGAGCCTGGCGAGCCTTTGAGGTCCTGGGAGCAGGTCCAGGCCATGCTAGCAGGTGGGGAGAGTGCAGAGTTTGGCTGCTGGTGGCGGAAAGTTCCAGGCCCCGATGGTCCCCGCACAGTGCAGACCAGCTGGGCAGGACCCCAGGGCAGTGGCCTCATCAGCTGAACTCACTGAGGCGGCCAGGGCGCTGGAAGGGTCTTCGGGGCCCACTGGTGGAGAAAGAAACCAAGACTCAGACAGGGAAAGGACAGCCACAGTGCCAGGGTCTCTCCTGCCCCCGCACACACCCTGGGGCGTTCTTGGAAATTGCCTTCTGGCTTCCGGCACCTGTGGGTTCTCCTCAGCCCCACTCCCACTGTCTTCTCACCTCTGGTTCCTTCTGGCCCTGGGGCTCCATCAGTCTCCTCGTGTGTGAGCTCCTTCCGTGTGACCCTGAGCCTTTCTTGACCTTACTCTGGGGCTGGGGTCCCCCTGCAGCCCCAGCCAGAAGCCCTGCCTCCTGCCCTATGGCCACCTGGGCCAGTGCCCCTTGTAGGGGAGAAGCTGGCCTCTGGGCCAGCAGGGAGCCAGGGGACTCGACCCCTCCTCTTTTGGCTTTGTCCCACAGCCCCCCAGGCGGATGTTGCAACTGGGTACCTTGTTGCCAGTTAGAGTGCTTGCCGAGTGAGGTGGCCTTTCCTGGGTGGCTGGACAGGACTGGGAGGCTGGGCTCAAGGATGGAAGTCCCAGGAGTGCCCTGGGGGGGCAGGGCCTGGGGAAGGGAGAGGGGGCTTGGGAGTCCGGCCGCCTGGGTTTGGAGCCTAGGCCCTCTGCATCCTCCTAGGTGATCTGCGAGAGAGAGAGAGAGAGAGACCTTCCACATGGGCTGTTTAGAGGAGCCTGCGGGCTGGGGATGGGGTCCGAGTGCTGCCCCTCTGTCTTGGCCCAGTCCTCCCACTCAGCCTCCTTTCCCCATCACCTTGGCTCCCATATCCTCCTGTCTGGGCCCTGGCCCCACAGACTCAGGGACCTCTCCCAGCTGCCAGTCGGTCACACCTATGGCTGCCGCCTGGGAGCCAGCCTGGGTGATCTAAGATGCGATTCCTTTCCACAGGGCCCAGGTTGCCCGGTTCCTGAGCTGTCCTCGCCCCCCTCCGCTGGCTACAGCTCTGTGGGACAGAAGCCCGAGGCCGTCGTGCACGCGATGAAGGTGAGGGCTGCACCCTGCCCAGATCCTGCTCCTTCGGGGGCCCCAGGTCCCTGGTGCACGAATGGACCCTGTGACCTTGGACCCCACATTTGCCCTCTCTCTGCAGCAGAGTGGGGACTTTGGTCTCTGGGAGCACTGGGAGGCCATGGCCGACTGCAGCACCATGGGGTGGGGGCATCTGGAGGTGCTGAGTAGTGGCAGCTACCACCCCAGCAACTGGTGAGGCCTTGGAGTAGAGGAGGGTGACCCTCTCTCCCCCAGTGTCAGAGAGGTGTGGGCAGGACTGGGACTAGGACAAACCTCAGTCCCCGGGGCCCAGCTTTTCTCCTGCCCCCTGCTCAGGGCCCCCAGGTGTGCCCCGGGGCACGTCTCCCCAGCTGCGCCCCTCCTCCCTTCCCGGGTCCGTGTGCCATGGATGCTACACGTGCATGCACAGACGGACACAAGTGCACAGTACCCCAGGAGGGAGGCCCGGTGCGCGGCTGCACAGACACAGCGCACTTGAGCCCATGCGGGTGGTGACTTGGCCCCCACCCCCAACGTGTGTGGGCCGGGGCTGCCCTGAGTCCCGAGTGGGGAGCCTGGGTTGGAGTGAGTCCCCCTGTCTACCTATCCGGCTCCCGGGTGACCCGTCCTCAGCTCTGCCCCACTGCTGATGTAGGGGTGCTGCTGCCCTTGTGTGGCATCCACAGGGTCACAGGGTTGAGGGGAGAGGACACAAATGGAGGAAGGACAGCCTGGCTCTCAGGCCCCTCCACGCCCCCCGACTCCGAGGCCCGCGGCCAGGGATCCTTGGTGTCTGTTTGCAGCAGCAGATGCTAAGGCTCAGGGCAGCCTGCCCCAGGCTCGCCCAGTGGCCTCTGTCCTTGACCCTGGGGCCTGTCCCCTGCAGGTCCTGGAGGTACATGAAAACCTGGACCGGCAGCTCCAGGACAGCTGTGAGGAGGACCTGAGCGAGAAGGAGAAGGCCATTGTCCGTGAGATGTGCAACGTGAGGCGCCTCCTGGGGCCAGGCATGGGAGGAGGGCGGGGGGTGGCCCATTGAGGACCCATGTGGCCACGACCCTTCTGGTGGGGAAGGAGCTGGTGATCTGGAGGGCTGAGGACAGGTGCAGGGGCCTGGGAGCCCTGCCACCTCCCCTCCCCCTACTTTCCCCCACGTTCCCTTCTCCCCCACGTTCTCCTACTTTCCCCCACGTTCCCTTCTCCCTCTCCTTCCACCCCTTCCCCCTACTCCCAGAAAAAGGGGTCCTTGATCTCTGGTACTGATTGTCCCATGTGTCCTGACCCTTGGCCCCTGTCCCATCCCCCGGCACCTGTCTGGCTTCCAGCGCACAGGTGGTGCTCAGACCGGGGCTATAGGCGGGGCCCTCTACTTTGTGGGACCCTCGAGCCTGGGACTGCCTTGGCTTTTGGAAGCCAGGTCTGTGGGAGGCCAAGCATTGTCCCTGGACCTGCCTGCCAATACATACAGTCTCCTTGGACCCTGGTGGGAGCCGACAGGGAAGGTGGTTCACAGGGGCCAAATACTTGCCTCACTCGGGGTGGGGTGTTCCCAGTCCCCCTCCTGTGCTGCCTCCCGGGTCTGTAGGCCCCGCTGGACAGCCTTGAGGCCAAGTCTGCACCCCAGCTGTGACCTGCTTGGGGTGGGAGGTGCAGTGGTGAAGGTGGTTGTGCAGAGACCTGGTCTGAGGATCACTGGGCCTCCCTTGGCCTCTGTGTCCCCTTCTGGCCCCATGGCTCTGGGGACGAGAGTGATTCTGAAGAGCAGTGAGGCAGTGCGTGCACACAGGCCCCTGTGTGGCTCAGGACCGGCCCTCCCCTCACGGCTTGCCCTCCCCACAGGTGGTCTGGAGAAAACTGGGGGACGCCGCCAGCTCTAAGCCCTCTATCCGGCAGCACCTGTCTGGGAACCAGTTCAAAGGGCCCTTGTAGGGCCATTCCTCCGTGGACGTGGACTGGCCCTGCCTGGGGTCTGCAGACACGGGCAGGCCCTCGCACCGAGCCACTGTCTTCTTTTCCTGTGCTGACTTGTACATAGTACGCTGCCTGCCACGGCCTGGCTGCCATGGGTCCGATTCCATCTCCTGCCTCTCACACCAGCACACCGGGAAGACTGTTTCCTGCAGCAGAGCGGCCTGGACAGCCTTGTTCCTGCTCGGGGGCCCGGGCTCTGGGTGCCGCTGGCGAGAGGCTGAGGCTGCTCTGAGATCCCGGGCCCAGGGACTGGCCCAGGCTGTGCCCAGCTTTGGTGGAGGGGCACCTCATCAAGCCCTTCACCCCTGGACGCCACCTGCACTGGACAGAGGCCACTGGCAGCTGGACTGATGCACGGGGCACCACTTCTGACCCCCTGCTGTGGCCTGGACGCCGGCTTGCTCAGCACTGGGTCCCGAGTCGCAGACAAGGCCCCTCCTCTGGCCCCTGTGCCCAGGCTCCCTGCTGCCAGCCGCTGCTTGGCTTTAGAGCTCATGCCCCCACCCCCAGACACACACTCTCTGCTGTGGCCCTTGCCTGGTGCCAGGCTGTGCCCTATCTTTGGGGGGTCCCTCCTGCCCAGGGCCTGAGGCACCTCCATTTCTGTGTGTCACATAATGAGACATGCACACCCCTCTCTGCCTGGGTGGCACTGGGCCACGGCCGGGCCTCTGCTCAGGAATGGTGTTCCCCAGAACCTGACCCCTTCCTGGATCACTGTAGACAGAGCCGCGTGACGGCAGGTGAAGGACTTCCCTCCTTGGGAGGGGCCCACCCTGGCTCTGGCTTTCATTTTCCTGTGTGACCTTCAGCAAGTCACTCAGCCCCTCTGGGCCCCTGGTGGGAGAAGGAGGGCTCAGAGGTTCTTTCAGCCGTGCCCACGGTTGGAGGCCATCAGCTTTAGTCAGCCTACTGCCTCCTTCACAGCACACGAGCCACTGGTGCCTGCCTGCTGGAGAGGCCGCTGGTGAGTGGGCCAGAGGAGCCAAGGCCCAGGCTGCCTCCTCTGAGGGCTCGGGGATCAAACAAGACCTTCAGTGTAGAACGGTCAGATATAACTGTAAAGTGAGACTTGAATTTTAAAATGTGTGTGGGACAGTGCGGCCCAGAGAGGGTGAGTGGCCTGTGGCTCATTGCAGACAAGATCCCAGAGCCTGGAAGGCCGGGCCAGGCCACTGTTAATAACGCTGTAGTGACCAGCCCTGGCGTCCTCTAGCTGTTTCAAGTTCCTCCATCACCATCGGACTTCCTCACTCTTCAGCGGTACTTAGAGCTGCAGGCAGCTGGCCATCAGGGAGCCCGAGGCTGTCCTGGCGTCAGGCAGGCCTCGTCCAGGCTCACGTGAGGGATGGGGACCAGGTAGGGGGTGGACGAGGCCACCCTGTTCCTCTCCCCAGTGGGGACTCCGAGCAGTTCTTACCGCCTACCTGCCATCGGTGCCCTTGGGTCGACGCTCTCAGGGGAAAAGCCCGAGGCCCTCACTGTGCCCAGGGAGTGGGAGGTGGGTGCTGCGCACGGCGACAGGCACGGTCCTCTTGCCCTGAGTGTTACAGGGAGCTGCGGGCTCTCCAGGAGGTGGCTCTCAGGTCATGTGGTGAGCTCCCTGTCACTAGGGGTGTGCATCAGGAGCTGGGTGAACATCTTTGGTCCTGGTTCGGGGTGTCTCCTGCCCAAGTGGGCAGCGAGCTGGGTTGCAGAGGCCCCTTCTGGGTCTTTAAGCCCAAAGAACTGCAGAGCAGCCCAAGGGGTCATGAGGCCCTTTTGGGTGGGAGCCACGTCTGGGAGCCCATGTGTCATGCTTGGGCCACTTTGGCTTGGCCACCACTGAAAATAAGCAATAAGTCAGGTCTCCTGCAAAGCGACCCAGGGAAGAGCAGCCTCAAAGGGACCTTTCCCGCTGGAGGGAAGTGACCCTGGCCCTGATGCTGCAGTGGTGTCCAGGGAGCAGGTGACATCTGTCAGAGTGGCCTCCCACCCACCGTGGAGACGGCACCCTCCAGGTGCAGACGCCTCCTCCCTGCCCCTGCTCGTGTCCTGGAGCCAGCCGTGCACAGGGTGTCTTTCTAAGACAGAACTGTGCCTGTGACAGTCCTCTCTCTAGCTCCCCTGCCTGCCCTGCCGCAGCACGGGGTGCAGCTGCAATGGGAGCCAGTCGGGGAGGGCCATGTGGGTCTCACTGCAGGGGCCAGTTCAGGGTGAGTCCCTCTGCCACGAGCAGGGAGTGTGCGGAAGGTGCCCCCCCCAAATCTGGAGCCTTAGCTCTGAAAGCTCATGGTGGGGGTGGGGGTGTTGCTGAGCCTGGTGTCCTTTCGTAAGGCCCCTTTCTGTTTCAAATACTTATTCTAGATGACATGACACCGGTGCTGTGGCTTCCGTTCCCACTGTGAGGGATGTCACCCTGCCTCATACCAGGTGGCCAAGCCCATCCTGGAACTGGAATCCGCTGAGCACATTTTTATCCAAAAGTTATTAGCTACACATCAGTGTTTAAAGAGAAAAAAGTGACCTTTCATTTTTTTTTCTTGAAAACTTGAGAGGAAACAATACATACTACTGATTTTTTTTTTAAAGAAACAAATGAAATGCATGACTGCAGAGCGGTAGAGGTGTATATTTTTCATAATGGGGGGGGTAGTATTTGTGCTGCTTCGTGGGGATGGGCGAATCTCCTGGCTCCCGTCCCCGGGCCGGCAGCCCGGCTCCGTCTTCCGGAGGATGTGACGGCCCGAGCGCTGGGGCCGTCCCCCCCCTCGGCTCCGGGCAGAGCCGGGGGCCTTGAACTCCTGGGCCCGTTTCTACCTTCTGTTGAACCACTTTGATTTGGGGAGAGAAAAAGAAATAGAACTTTTTGATAGTGTGGTAAAAACTTTGATTTGAACTATTTTAGTAAAGGAGCAACAGAGAAGATTGTGATAGTGTCTACTTTGTGCTAGATAAATAAAGGGCCTTTGCGAGCCTCAGCGGTGGCGCGGCGCTCATCTGTCCCTGCGGCGGGCTGGCTGGGCAGGGCCCCGGGTGGAGGGCTGAAGACCATCACAGCTACTCGGTGGCCTCCGTCTAGTCACAGGCCAGAAGTGCACTGACTGACAGTTCCAAACCAGTATGAAACTCAACTTCTTCCTCCAAAGACAGCCCGAGCAGGTGCAGGAGGCTGGCCCACAAGGAGGGGGGGTCCCGCCTGGGGAGGCCCAGGGTGGGTTTGGCCGGCAGTCAGGCCTCTCTTGGGCAGCATTCTCCCCCTGCCCACGCCTTGGCCCCCAGGGTCTTGAGGGAGACCTGCTTCTGGGCTGCAAACTGGGGGGCTGCTAAGGCCTGGGGTCCCACCAAGGTCTGGGGTCCCACCTTTCACCCATAACAAACAAGGGGATCATTTCAGAACTGATTTTATTTGGGTAACTGACTGAAGGAGTCTCATTTGTAACCAAGATGGAATTCACAGTATGTTGTTACATTCACACTTAAAAAATATATCTCTATGTACAGGAATTTGCAAATTGATGTAAACATACATTACTTCCAAGTACATTGCTCCCTTTCTCCCTGGAGGAAAAAGAGCCATCCAACAAGGCAACCCCTTCAAAATAACTTTAATACAAAGGATGTAAATGTCTCTAAATCAAAAAAGTGGTTCATCTGACCTACGGGGGGTCATGGGAGAGAACATCATGGAATGACAGAATTGACAGCAGCTCGACTCCAGGTGGAACTGGACTGTTTAAAACTGAGTTTCCAGGAAAAATAGGCACTGGTTTCTAGAAGGAAATTCACTCCTTACTGAAGCTATTTATTGAGCCAATATGGCTGGTTAACATTCTCACTAGTATAAGCAACCCAGTGCAGGACGAGCAGACGACATCAGCGAAGCCAAGTACATGGTCGGGTCGCAGCGGATGCTGCTGGGGCTACGCTGAGAGCCGCTGTCCCCACTCCAGATGTGCAGGACCCTCCCCCACAATTTCATCTCACGGGTTGATCCTCTTCTCCCCAAACTGCAACTGTCTAGCATCATACAAGGTACCCTGCTGTTTATCCACTTCAACTACTCTTCAAGTTGATTAGAAAAACTTTTGTTTAAAAAACAAAGGGGAAAAAAAAACGGAGTCACGTTATCTCATCCAGGCTGCCCGCCCCAGCCCCCCGACTGGAGGCATTCCAGGTGGGGGGATGGGTGGGGGCACAGGTGGCTGTCCTCCAGGGGGGACAGCTGGAGGTGGGTAGCTAGCTGGAGGCAGACCCAGGCCTGGAGGAGGGTGAGGTGGGACTGCATGGGTTGGGGGCAGGCGTGGGGGTGGGGTGGGAAATTGGGGTTGTAGGTGGGTGGAGGTGGGGGTAGCCAGGGGTTGGGGAGGGATGGCTGGTGGGGGGAAGGAGGCGGGGGGAGGGGGCACAGGTGGTGGGGGCGGGTTGGGGGGGTAGACGTGTGGGTGGTAGGGAAGGTGAGCTGGCGGACCGTAGGCAGGGGGCAGGGCTCCGTAGGAGGGGCCCTCCGTCTTCATCATGGACTGCAGGCTCTGGTAGCCCTCTCCGGACATGTAGGAGCTGGTGGTGGACATCCCAGTTATGTAGCTGGAGGGCGGTGGCGGTGGCGGACGGTGTGGCAGTGGTGGTGGCTGGTGCACAGGGGCCGGGTGGGCTGGAGGAGGAATCTGGACTTTGGGGAGGTCGCTGGCATCCACAGGGCCTGGTGGCTCAGCCTCACCTAAGGCAGCCACGAGGGGCGGCTTCCGGTCTGCAGGGGAGAGAAGGTCACCGTCTAGCCCTGGGCCAGCTCCCCAGCAAGGCATTCCCACAGGGCTGTGTGAGGAGGGGTGAATCCACTGACTCCCTCGGGGCGGGGACGGCCCGAGCCAGGAGCTCCGCACGGCTCACCGGCTTACTGCCACGCTGGGGTTCCCGGCCCGATACAGCCTGGAGGCCCGCTCCTGTTCCCCCAAGGCCATCTACACAGGGGAACAGCAAGCAACTGTTACCTCTATGGCCAGACAGCTCACTTCCTGTCACACAGGCCCTCCTCCTCGCCTCCAGCCCCTTGGTCCCAGCGACACCAGCCACAGACAGTCCCGGAAGCACACGGAGCCCCCCTCTGACCCAGACCCCACCCCCCACCCCCGGGCCTTTCCCAAGTTCAAACATGGGCCTATTCTTTCTGCCTTTCTCTGACTCCAGAGACTGAGCTCAGGGCCAGGGCCAGACTACATTACTGTCTGTGGCAGCAGCTTCAGCAGAAAGCCTGAGAGTTGGCTGAATGCATGACGTGGCATTCAAAAAAATAACAGGCAAGCCTCTGACAAGCCAACACGCCCACGAGGGCAGCAACTCCTGCCAGCGCTGTGCTGTGCTCAGGGGCACCGCTCACTGCCCTGGCTCCCCGGAGCGCTCAGCAGCTGACTGGAAGAGCTGACGCCTCCAGAGGCTCAGAGAAGTCTCCGGAACATCTACCAGCCTTCAGAAAAAAACACTCCTTAACTCCTGCCTTCTCTAGTTGAAGCCTTCATCTTCCAAAGTGTTACCCCAGGTGACAAATGCAAGTTCTTTACAGCTTTTCTCCTCTATTTTTAATGATATCAAGGAAGCTTCCTAGTTTCCTATGTACCTGTGGAGAACTTTTCACTCTTTAGTCTCCATGTGAGTCCACGAACAACTGCTTATTCTTCAAAATGTACTGAGAAGACATCTCACCAGCAGGAAGCAGATGGGAGAGACTGAAGCCTAAGATCCTGCCCAGACCTGGACAATGTTCCTAGGTTGGCAGGACCTTGTTTTCCTAAAACTGACTCTGAATTCATTTATCCCAGGTAGTTCAGCATTTCTGGATGAGACAGGCCAGAGAATATTCAGATGTATTAGAATTTACAACATCCTCAAACTACCTGGTTTCTACAAAACAATTTTTTGAAAGATCCTAGGTCATTAATGGCCTTTTAAATTTGGCCCTTCTACAAACTTTCCCCAGGACTTCCCAAGTCTGCCCTTGAAGAAGGCATAGAGAAAAGCTGGCCTTCCCAGGTGTTTTCAGCAGACACTCACCTGGAGGTGGGTGGGCTGGAGGCAACGGAGGGTGAGTGGTCTCAATTTTGGGAATTTTAGGTGGTGGTGGTTCTAAAAAGAAAAAGTAGATTAAAAAGCCACTGTTTATGTGAATAAACATGTCATAGAGACCAAAATAAAATGAAATAAAATAAAAGAAAGAAAAAGATACTGTTCAGGACTATTTCGGGGAAAAAAGCAGAGGTGACCAAGGCTTGCAGGGAACCTGAGGAAGGTCCCAGCTAAACCATCCCTATAAAAGGATAAAACAAATCAAACAAACACACTCCCTCCCCAACCCCCTCCAAAAATAAAAACCAACTCTAGCTTCCCACAGTAAGCCCACTTCCCACGTCTCCCCAGTTTCCTCCCGACTGCCTAAGACCAGCCCTTCCACGACGAGGGAGCAGCAGAGGACACCCCAGTTATCAAGTGTTGCCACTAATACACAGACACAAAGAACGGCCCTGAGCCCTCGAAGGAGAAACTGCTACCTTTTAATTCTTATTTAGGTGCATGATATTTTCTCTCTCACCAACATGTACTCCCAGTTGGCAGCAAGTCGGAAGCAGCACCTTGGCTGGCGTCAGTAAAGATCTGGAAGCCGTGATTGGATGTAAAAGCAATGGGCTCGGGGCCACTTGGGGCAGAGGAAACAGCCCACCCTTCAGGGTCGAGCGGCTGCGCGTCACCAGCATCCTCAATGACAATGCTGAGTGGCCAAGACAGGCTACACCAAGCACAACAGCTTCCGTTTACGAAGGCCGAGTGCGTGCAAGCACAATTGGAAAAACCACCATCTTTCTGTGGGTGTGTTTTGGCTCTTTCTCCCTGAAACTCACTTAATTCTGGCTTGTACACCACTCTGCTCTGCTTCTGCTCTGGCATCGCTGGACATTCTTGGTTTCCTCCATCCCAAACACAGGCCAGATTCAAGGTCCAGGGGTGCCCCCCTCCCTGCTCAATCCAGGCAGAGGAGCTGTACATCTCCGCCTCTCCCCTCTCCCCTCCAGAACCACGAACCAGACTCTCAAGCCCCATCCTGAGACACGCAGCCCACACTCACACACAAGCCTTCCCTCCATGTCCCTCACTCTGGTGCCCACCTCCAGCCTCCCTCCCACAGCCGGCCAAGCTCAAGTTGTCTGGATCAGGGCTGTCCAACAGAAACGCAAGGAGAGCCACACATGCAATTTAAAATTTTCCAGTAGCCTCGTTAAAAACTACAAAGAGGTGAAGTATTTTTAATGTGGTATTTGATTTAACCTGATAATAGAAAATTTTTATCATTTTAATGTGTAATCGATGTAAAAATTTATTAGTAAGATTTTTAACATTGCTTTCTCTAACTCTTGGTAATCTGGTGTGGCTTCTGCACTGAGGGCACAGGGCAGTTTGAGTCGGCCACATCCCCCAGTGCCCGAGAGCCCCCCCACAGCTAGCGGCACGGACCCAAGCGCAGCGGGGCTCTGACCTCTAAGCTGTGTCTGTACCCTTCTTTTCTGGCCCCCAGGCCCCCACCCGGACTCTGCCCTCCCCAGGTCTCACTCACATGCTGTCCCATGACCGCTGCCAGGAAACTCCGAAAATGAACCCAGACTCTACCAATCTCCTGCTCAAACATCTCCACCGGCCCCACTGACTGTGTGGAGCCCAGATTTCTCCACTCTCTCACCTGTTTCTACCCCATTTTCAGTCCTATCAAAAGCTCTTCCCTTTTAACTCTTCGTAGTCCAGGAAGCCCCCTCTCTGTTTTCTCCCAAAGTCTCAATTCCTTTGCTCACTTTTGTTCTTCTACCTAGAGGTTCCACCTCCTCAGCCTTAGTCAAAGGCCAGTCCTCCTCCAAGGCCACCGGGCTTGTTTCTGCCTCTTCTGGACGCAGCACCAGCTCAGCTTGACTGTACATCGACGTGGCACAGAGCGCAGCCCACTCCCCTGTGTCTCACACTTACTGCTTGTCATTCGGAGCTAAAAGCCCTCTCCTGTACTGAACTCATCATTGCCCCAAACATCCTGAGAAAAACAGAGCCTTATTGTAACCTGAAGACCTCCCGAAAGGTCTATAAATAATTCACTGGGTTCCTACCCTGGAACTAAGCAATAGAGAAGCAGAAACGAGTCAACAGGGTCTGTGCCCTCAGAGGGCTCAGCCGACACAGGGACGAAACACTTCCTCATTTTCTCTACTGTGATGCCAGGTTCTACTCACTCTCTGTTTGTTTCCAACATAGAAACAAGTTCACCGACTTTGGGCTCCAGAAATACGGGGAGGAAAGGTGCTCAGAGTCCGGCCCCCTGGGCAGCAGGGCTGCAGCGTGTGGCGGCTCTCCCACAGCACCTGGCCCAGGCCCTGCCCTCCGCCCGCCCTTCCACGCCTGCTGCTCAGCCGGGGGGCGCCACGCCCTTTGGGAGCCACTGTGCTGGGCTTCACTGATGCCCAGGACAGACGGGGCGGCAGTCCTCCTACGTCCCCAGTCACACGCAGCTGGCCCCAGGCGTCTGCGGGTAGGGAGGGCTGCCGGCGAAGCTCCAGCATGTGTGCGTTCTGGTCTTGGAACCAATGCCCCGGGGACACCAGGGACAACTGCACTGTACAGAGCACATTGTTATTGCCACTAATATATATGTTTTTTTGTATTGATATCTTCTGTCGGGGTAAAATCTAAAATACAAAATCAGGAAATAAAGAAGACAACGCACTTTTTCTGGCAGGTAGGGCCAAGTTTTTGATGGGCTCTAGGGTTAAATTTTAAGGCCAATCTAAATCTGAAGGGAAATGATGTTGACTAAGAATGTAAAGTTTTGATAAAAGAGATATAAAACTAAAAAACGAAACTTGCGAACAGGAAATTACCTGCTGCTTTGTTCTCTTCTTTGGGAGAAACAACCTGTTCCAAAAGAAAATACATGATGGTTAGCCAAGACCCTGGGAATAGTGAGGAAAAAAGGACTATCTAGGCATCCATAGAATCACAGCCAGAACAAGCCTCAGACAAAAATTCATTTTGGCTTGAACTTGCAGGGCAAACCATGGCACCTAACAGGCCATCACCTCTGCCTCCTCTCTGCCTTTCAGACCAGACAGGACGACTAACTCTCCAGAGCGGAGTTCTGAGCGCTGAACTTCATGCTGCGCTGCATTCGGGGAGTGGAGCTTGCCGGCACGGCTTCCTCCACTGGTGGGCCGCGACCACAGGGAAACCTTGACAAACACTCTGTGGCATGTAAGGAACCAAACACTGTAGAGCCAGAGAGAACTGGGGACCCCTACGCTAACGGTCAGCGTGCAGACCTGGAGACCACACGCCGGCAGGTCTTGGGGCCTGGACACAGGCAGCAGCAGCTGGAGGACAGGGCCGTCCTAGCACCGCTTCTCTGACCCCGCTCGTTCTCAGGCTCCCCGCGGACGTGCAGGCAGATGGTGCACGTCACTCCCTGCTTTTGGTGCCCCGCGCGATCCCTTAGAAGCGAGAACACACACAGGCAGGGTGTTGCCCCTGGAGGGCCGGACAGACCGGCACACTTACCACGGCGCGCTTCACCTGCCGGGGGGGACTAGGCTGCGGGGACGGCTTCCTGGGCGGCTGCACTTGCTGCGGGGCCTGCGGCTGGGCTGACTGCTGCGCGTCCTTCTGCTGGGACGGGGGCGGCTCGGAGCCTTGGGACGTCTGCGGCTGTGGCACCTGCGGCACCTGTGGGGTCGTCTGGAGAGACGGGGGCTGCTGCAGCTGGTGGGGCGTGTGATGCGGCATCTGCTGTTTCCCTTGTGAGTACAGGTCCAGGATTTGGTGGCAGATGTCTAAACGACAGGCACCAAGACATTTGCCACAAATTAATACTTTAAATAAAATTCTACCTAGAAAAAAAATCCACCCATTTTCCTTTCAGCTACGATTCCCCTGAAGGACCAACATATGGGGGTCAAATCTGTAATTCACCAATCTCTGGTGTGCACGGCAGTGGTGTGCATTTTTAGTCCACCAAAACTGTGTGCTTGGACAGAATGAACATTATATTAGACAATTTAATTTAATTAGAAGAGTTTTTATGCCTATTTGGGAAAATCCATTCTCAGGGCTCAAGGTTCACAGGGAAGAATGACCTAAATGTGGAACACGCCTGCAGAAAGCTCAGCATGCCCGGTACCTTCCAGGACATCCACAGGGACGTCCTGCACAAACTGCTCCCACCATCGCCTATACATGGGTTTGGAAGTCCATTCTTGTATTTCAAATTTGCACAGACGTCCCGCAAGATACATCACTGCCACCGCTATGATCTCTGGTTCCCACTGCAGTGACAAGGTCGTGCAGAGACTAGTTCAACAAGAAAAAGAGGTGACTTGATTTGGATGAGCAAATTTAGGATTTATCCAAGGCATGGCGACTAGATGCCATATCTAAATGTTGACTTGCTTATTCTTTCCTATAAATGATCACATAAAGTACTATAAATAAAAGAAACAAGTTTTTAGTCTTCTAAAGGTATAGAAACGAATTACTTTAATCATAGTTACTAATTTATCTGATCTTAAAGAATCAGAATTTCAGCATCTTCAAAACTTGCTACGTCATGGAATACAAATGAAATGGTTGTGTTCTCCAAGTGGTTGAAATCCCAGCACTGAACTGTTTCTTCACATGATGGTAACTCCACTCACACGAATTCTGTTCCCCATGTAGCACCCTGTTATAGCCCTGGGCTCCAAGAACATTAAAGCTCTGAAACCATGATAAGGAAGTATACTTGTGCAGAACCACATGGGTTTTAAGAATCTACTTGCCAAAATTCTCCAGTGCAGTGTTTTGGACTTATGTTTCAAGCTGTGGTAAGATTTCAGGATCCTGTACCACCATGACAAGGCAGGGTACCCCCTCTGCTGGGAAGCAGATGACCTGGACTTTAACCTCAGCTCTGCCATTAACTGGCCCATCACGCTGGGGCAAGTCAGTTTCCTCCATACAAAATAAGGGGTTTGGATTAAATGACACAGAAAGTCCCTGCCTATTTTAAAACACCATAAACCAACATTTGAACACGTGTACCTGTCATTTACAAATGTCCACGCCATTTGAACCAACTTTTGAATTTTGTTTTTATCACCTAGAAATGGGGAAGAAAAGACAAATTAGTAGTAATAGAAGAGGGGAAAAAAGGAATGCACAAGCAGCAACAAGTACTTATTTAAAGCCTACGGTGTGCTCAACACCAGCCCCAGTACACCGCGAAGAGCTTCCGCCTGGGAAACAAGGACAAGCAAGCGGGGCCAAGTCCCGCGCCTGTGTCTTTCCGCATGACCCACGCTGAGCCACCGTTCATGGGAAACCTGGCTCTGAGGCTGCTTTTATTCGGCTATTTAAAAATCCTGACTCATCTTCCTACCTCGTATCACTTGGCAACCGGATGACAGACTCTGTTTATACTAAAAGGAAACAGCATTAACAGCTGTCATAGTGAATCGTCTGGGCAAGCCGTGTCCTGGGCACTTCACACACTGACTCTCCACTTTCCCCTTTGAGAAGTGTAATCTGAATGTCACCAAATTATTATAAAGACTTGATTTCAGAAAGATAGTGTTCTCTTGGTAACTTTTTCTTCTTACCTTTGAGTTGTTTCGCATACTTGAGTAGGAACTGGTACGGATGTTCCACCTGTAAGTCAAACTTTATCGTCTGTAGTAAGATTCTCTCCAGAACCATCACTTCTTCCTAGAAATAAAATAACAAATTTTGGGTTAGTAATTTCAGCCACAGGTCTGAAACAGCATTAAAAAGTGAGCTTTCCTTTAATTCTTCCTTCAACTTATATTTTAGCAGCTATTTTTCACTCCTTTTCTCCTCTCTGTCACTCAGGCCTTTAACATGCTCAGTGATAACGATAAATTCTGAAAAGAACTAAATGTAAGAAGATAAAACAAACAATCAGAATTAATTTTTAAAAACTACTCAAAACAAAATAAACATTCTTAGAAATGTCATTACTTTCAATACATATGAGCACCCTTTACAAAATAGACCTTTAATCTACAGATAATTTAACCGAAACTTAGCTTCTTTCCAGACCTCCACTGAAAAGTCATTTACTGAATAGATCACTATTTTCTCCTTTATTAAACCACATCCTAAACTATCTACACACACACACACACACACACAATCTTTTCTGTTCATTGATCTGTTTGTCCACTTCTGTATGTACCAGGATCAGAGAGAGTTAACATTTGGAAGGGAAAGTTCAATTACTATTCCTCTTTAAAAATTTTTTTCTTGTTTTTGCATATCCTCTCCACCACTTGAACTTTAATACCATTTTACTTAGAATTATTCTAGAAAGAGTGAAAGCTACTGATGTCCTTTAGTAGTTTTAAAGTCCTTCCATCCTGGCCCGACATGGGTTCCACATATTTCTTACAAGCTTTATTCTTGGATATATTATTTGACTGCTGCTGTTGTAAATGGAATCTCTTCTTTTATCATACTTTCTAACCAATTAATATCCATAAACAAGTACTTCTTGAATTCAATCTCTGTACAGTCTGACTGTTCCTAGCACTTACAGATAATGTAAAATACAATCAAAACACTGTGCGGCAAGAACAATTACAATCACTTGTTTGAGTCGAAGAACAGGCTTTGGAGAGACTGACAGTCTTACCATTAACAGCTGCATAAATCCGTTAATGCTGGGCAGAGACGTGCAGGCACCCGGCCTGCAGGCTGAGGTCTGCGTTACGTCACAGAATGCAGAGGCGATTCTATCGCCAGTATTATTCCAAATGACACAGCAGGACAAGTGTCTGTCCACCCTAGTTTCCCAAGTGTTCTCTCAGAAAAGCTTTTAAAGTCTTAAGACTTTCACACGGTACAACAAAATCCTGACAACAGTTTATTTCCCTCCTGTTTTTGTCACCACCTGTTTCCCA